TTTTCCAAATAAACCCCCTGATTAGACGACTGCCCGTTCTCGCAACTATATATTTTTTTAGCCAGCGTGGATCACAATATGTGAATATATTAACTCCCAACCAATCTGCTGCTGCTTGAATTTCTAATTCTGTTGCCCAACTGCCAACCTCACGTATTTTGGATGTGCTGAGGTATTCTGACATGGAGGAGGTCAAAATACGCTCATAAGGCACAGCATTGCTCTGCATTTGATGAACCACTGCACGCCTAATTATTGTGTGATGCCTTTGTGTACCACACACAGCTTGACTCACTGCTCTAAAGAAACAGTTTCCGTCCCCCTCTATTTTTTCATTGATACATGGAGCCCCTAACAAACCAATTTGTGTAGACACAACATCTACTTTCTCTGACTGCACATGTAACTGGTCACAAAGAGCTTGTGCAAGTTGATTGCTAAGAGGATTAAACTGCAGTCGTCCACTTCTTACTTCTTTGACAAAAGCAACGTCTGAATCAACTGCGGTAACATCACTCTTTTTTAATTTTTTGCAAGCAGAAGATCCCTTACGAATCTTACGCTTTGCACCCATCTGAATGTTGGTGCAGCCAAGTGTGGACTGAATAGCTGAACTACAACCCAAATCAGTCTCTGTCGTTTTGGGAGTCACTCTTGGACCCAAAGACAGATTACTGCTTTCAATTGGGCCTATGTGAGTGACTCGGACACCAGCGATCTCAAACTGTTTTTGACACTTCTTGAGGAACGCTGCAAATGTCCATATGTATTCAAACACGTGTTCAAGGCCTCTGAAATACAAAATAACACTACGCCCCTCGCCATCGCGCATCCCAGACGTACTGCGTGCATGGGAGTCGACCACTGCGTAGTGTCCACCTTGACCAATGATGGCACATGTACCGCCATTCATTGTCAGAAAGCATGTGTCATAGTTAGTACACATCCTTTCCAGTCCGCATTTTAGAGTGGTGTGCACCCCCTCATCAATGAGATCCCCCTCAACCACATCCACATCTCCAGACACAAAGTCACTGTATTGAAACAGAAATGTTTGTCCGTCAATAATGGCCTCCTTGGGCAGATCTGGAACCGAAAGTAGTTTGTACCCGCCACTGATACCTTGTTGGTCACGCAGGGAGGTGTACAGATCGTCACCAAGAACAACAACTTTATCCAGGTTGTCGGTCTGCCATGTGAACACGCTGTCAACTAGGGCTGGGCGATTTGGCCTAAAAATAAAATCGCGATTTTTTTTTTCTAACTAATGGACAATTTTCGATTTAAACCTCGATTTTTTTCTGTTTTTTTCTAAACGCGAACGAGCCGGCTCTTTTAAGTGATCGACGGGAGCCGGCTCTCGCCCGCGAACGAGCTGTTTTTTTTTTTTTTGCGGAGGGATCTAGATCGGCATGAAGGCACATTATGCAATGTGCACATCATCAAAAAAACAAAAAAAACAAATGGTCCGTAGATACACGGACCAATCCAGGATACAAGCCACATAGTTGCACCTGCAAGGAGAATACAGAACAACTCGTTAAAAAATAAACTACCGAGTGTTTGAAAGCGTACAACAGTTTTATGATACTGCTCCATCTAAAACACGAGGGGATCTGACTTTATTACATTTGAGTTGAGTGTTTCGTCAACTTAATGTGTTGCTTAAAATAATACGTCTGCATACAGTATATGTGACAATGTAACTAAGTGTTGCACGGCCAGATACGGCTCTAGAAGCTGACTCAGATAAGGAAATATTGTGATATCGATGTGAGATCGATGATCTGATTGATGATGTGATGTCAGTGTGATATGAATGATAAGTGTGACACGTCGGCGTCTTCTCTGCATACGGCAGTTTAAACTGCATTTCCTTTTTCCTGTAATATGACTTGATAGATTTAAACTCTGCACACTGAGCTCTGATCGGTCAGCAGGCGGTGCTTTCACTGAGTTGATCTCTTTTCTATAGACGCCGGAGGAGGGCAGCGTAAGATGAAAAAAAAAGTTATTTAGCCTTCCCAAACCTGAGCCTCACGCGCCGCCTATGTTAGGCCTACTGTATACATACAAAGGCCATTCAAGCTAGAGTTCTTCTGGAAATGTTCACATCAGGCACCTTCAAGTTAAACAATACTAAACAATTAACACAGTAGGCCTAAATTATGTGGATTAAACCACATTTATTTCGTTAAAAATAAACGAAATATGATTTTGTTTGAAAGATGAAATGTCATCAGGAACCTTCAAGTTAAACAATCAGGTGCACACTTTAATGTGCCGCCACCTCCGGACTCGGCTTGAAGAATGCACAAATGTGTTTAATCGTTTGTCAGATATGTACTAAGTAGCCTAAATACATTTGTTCCTGCTCAAGATTAGATTCAACTTTATTGTTATTGCACATATTGCAGGTAGGCCTACTGAGACAACGAAATGCAGTTTAGCTTCTAACCAGGGGTGCAACAAGCAGCGAAAAGTAATGTGCACAATACTACAGTAAACAATTAACACAGTAAATTATGTGGATTAAACCACATTTATTTCGTTAAAAAGAAACAAAATATGATTTTGTATGAATGATTAAATGTAGGGTGAATTGCCCTAATGTGGGCCTTTTTTGCATTTCAGACTTCGGGAATATATTGCTATATGAAGCCGATACAATAAATCAAAATCCAGTACCATTCCGAAATCCCCAGTAATATTAGACACTAATAATACAGTAAACTATTAACACTGTACATATTATTGTTTGCCCGTGGGATTAGGATGATCGGTAGTGAGACCTGTGCTGCATTTTCCTCCGGTCGGATGTGATATAAAAACAAAGCGATTATTTTTGTTGTTGTAAACTCACGTGGATTAAACTACATGTATTAGTGCATTCATTTAAACTCGAGAACATATGATACATTAAACGATCGTGAGGATGATGATTGAAAATCGTTTGTTTGAGCCTGGATGCATTTCCTGATCTAAAAACATAGCGATGGTTTTGTACTTACGCCAACGAGAATTAAACATTATTTTGTTAAATAAAAACATGGGGATGTTTAGTAAGTGATTACATGTCTCTTATTTAGCACAGAATATGATCCTATCCGTGACATATGGATCTTAACAAATATCCGCTATATCAGATACCTGGAGATCAGCTGTTTATTTCACATGAGTTCCAGTGTGGCAGCTTTTTAATCACGGCTCCCCCTGGTGGATCCATGATCCATTGCAGCTGGTTTCATTATAATTAAATGTATTTATCAAGGGGGCGTTTCAAGTCCTGCGGGGGGGTTTTCCTTTTCAGCAGGGGCCCACCCCGTGCCGATCACGGACCCGCACTGGTAGGCGTCTGAAATGGAGCGCTCCATCTGTATAGGTGTTGCTATCTGTTTTGTGTAGCGTGGTTCTACAAGCAAGTCAATGCATTCATTGGGTGGCATCAGAGATTTATAAATTGTAAATGCAATGAAAACAATTGGCCACAGCAAATCATTTATATTAAACTTTATTTACTCTTGAATACTTCAGTACAAAGGATGTATTGAATAATTGAAGTGATATGTGTACACAGAGCTGCAGATCGGGTAGTCACAGGCAATGTGGCTGAGTTTTGTGCGCGTTCTGGAAAGTGAGAGAGTAAGCTACTACGGAGTCCCTTAAAGCAAAACAAATCTGCGGAGTTTAGAAATGTTTTTAAATCGCGATTTTTCGGTTCAGCCATTTCACAAACCGTAGGAAAGTAAAAATGCAAATTAATCGTTAAAACCGAAAAAATCGCCCAGCCCTACTGTCAACTGTGTGTTTTGCTATGCCTACCAAACTTACAGCCATGCACTGAAGTCCTGCATATTTAAACCGTTGGTCACCCTGACTGAATGTTCCCCTGATACACCCCATATCCCCAGCCCTGTCTGAAATGACTCTAGCCGTCTCCAAATTAAGTTCAGCTGCTTTCACAGAAAGGCTTGTAATGCTAAACTTCTGTGCATTCAATGAATTATTGAGATTCCTGATGTAAAGCATCAGGTCATTAGGGCATGTGTTGAACACGGCTACAGATGTGCCAAAACTGGATGCTAACCCAGACGCACCACGTGTGCCACAATCAACGACTACAATACAGTCATTGTGTTTAATAATGGCACTGGCTGCGGAATTTAGGTTAAACAGACACATGCCATCCCTGGATAAGTGTTCAAGCAGCTTCTCCGACAATACCTTATCCCCTTCAGACAAATTAAATTCGCCGTACACTGGCAGACCCATATTGACGTTCCACTTACGTCCAAACACACTGGTCTGCTCAACCAACCTGCACAAGTTCTTTGGCTTTACATTCATTTTATGGGCTTCCCCTAATACAAACGAGTTAAGCTTTGACCCTGCAACACGTATGGCATCGATATCTGTACTGCTCCACGTACACACAGGCGCAATCAAATGTTTGATCGCAGCCGCTATAGAACATGCAACAGATATTCTATCATCAGAAACTGATGCATACCTCACAACAGTCCCTGCGACAACAGCCAACTGCACTTTTTCTGAACACATGCAAGCATAACCCTTACCTGTTCTCCATCTGTTGTCATCATCAACATCCACTATCATGCTGGGTGATGGCTCGTTGCTGGGTGATGGCAATGGCTCCACCCCTGGCAATGGCTCCAGCCCTGGGAATGGCTCCACCTGGAAGAAGATTAATATATAAAAAAACTGCTAAAAAGACTGTGTCTTAAATTGTTTCACAAACGTTTAACTAAATAATAGAAAGCTATACAATTATGAATACGAAATTATTATTATTATTATATATTAAGTTTTGTTTTTCTACTTACTCACACACATATTGAATGGAACTCAAAAGAGAGGTTTCTTGTCATTCATTGTGTACACTTGAAACAACGTTGACTGCATGCAGGCTAACAACTGAAACTATTTTAACAATGAGCAAAAGTAACAATGTCAATAAATTAGCATGATTCATTAAAATGTCACTCTGAAAGCACATCCTTCACACAAAGAGCACAGACCTGCTGCTCCACAGCAACTGTCCCTCTACTGGTAGGTGGCCGTAAAATCACCTCCACAACCATGGGAGCTGCCTCCCCCTAAAAAAACAAAACAATTAAGTAAACTTCACAATAAATAACACCACCAATATTTGTGTAACTTCTTAGTTTTAAACAAGTCCTATATTGCCTTTAAAAAAGAAGAAAACAACAACAACCTGTCGCATTGCCAGGGTCCTCGTGGAGGCAGGAGCCCTCTGCTTCAGCTCCATCTTTGCTTTCTAATGTAAGGAAAACAAAATGATTAATCCTCCACTAATAACTTCTTATGGACAGTATAAGTTCTCCTCACTGTAATACATTTCAAGTTTGTCAGGAAGGATACATTTTATAATAGGGCATCAACCAACATACAAAGCAACAAACAAATTACCTTTTGCCGTTTTGGAACCGGTGGTGTGCACTCATCAGGGCCAGGAAGATGGGATGGACTAATTTTGTCCATCTCAACCAACATTGCACTGCTGAACCACACAGGTGTCAGTGGAAGATAACTCTCCTCCAATTCCTGTGAAATAAAAATGAATAAACACTGTTTTAGAAAAAGGGGAAAAAATGCACATATAAACTGCAATAGACATACCCCAATGATTTGAAATCATAATACAAAGTTGACCTACCTCCTGCTGAACAGTCCCTGCTTGTTCAAGTGCATCAATGGACTGCTCAGGTTCATCGTGTTGGCTCCTCTGTAAAGATAAATAGCATAGCTTGTGTTAATCAAATGGGTACTCTTCCACCATTATCAAGGCAAACTGCTCAGGGAATATCACTCTTATTGAAAGATGTCAACCACACAATTACCTTCCTGCCCTGGCCGATAACAGTCCACTTGGAAGGATCCAGTTGCGGTGATTTGGCAACCTCTCCTTTGACAATCACCCTTGGAGTGACTCTCCTCGCAGGCGGTGATCTTCTGTGGACAACAGGAGATGGCGTCGGCTCGGCTGGAACAAGTTGCATATATGCTGCGTTCCAGATCGAACCGACCAGGATTGGCATTCCCGCACTGTCACTCAAGTGCACCTGCAAAAACCAGCAAATAAAAATACATTTACAAATAGCACATAACATTCAATATGTTTTTTCAAGAACGGAACTTGGAATTTCAACTCCAAAGAAGTATACAGAGAAAACTTTTCCATTTGCCATGTCACTCACGCCATCTCTGCTTCACAGGTCAAGTTCTTTCAAAGGGAAGTACTCTGCAATTTGTGTGTACTTCACGCCTAAAAAAAACAACAAGATCAATTACTAACATATCCACACAGATATTATATTTTGCTCTTTTAAAAACATAAATAATGAAAAATGATAAAAATGATTTACGGTACTTGAACCTAAATATTTGTTAAACATACCCATACGTGCCGCAACACGACGAAATTCCTGACGCATCATGTCTTGGTAGTCAGGGTCAACGGTAAGGCGCGGGGGGAAGTCCAAGGCAAAAACCTAATCAAAGTTACAGTTGTCAACTACAAAGGTACGCTATTTTTCACAATTTGTTGATAAAAATGTACATTTTTCAGAAATACATAAACATACAACCACATGGATAAGAATACAAAGTGTAATATTATAAGAACTATAATAAATACAATAAAAAACAAGCTTAGGTTAGGCCAGCGACTGCAGGCAGTCGCAAGGAGCTTTGCAAAATCCTCTCCTGCTTCAGTGATGGTCCTGCTGGATGTCAGGTTGTTGCTGGGAGCCATCACACAGACTGCATCTGGTGTCCTAGGCAGCACAGCATTGGCTGCCTCGGTTCGCAGCTGGGTTGCGCATGCCCCCGGTGTGGACATGGCACCAAAGGAAAACCTTCCCTCTGGCATCTTCACAATTCCATCGACGATGGAACGGAGATGTGAAGCTCCAACAAGGAGGACAAACTGTAACAACAGAAGACATTATTTCAAATGAAAATCACTAATGATTACCCAGACTTTGTTAACAAAATCTGAAAACAATTCATACTTCCTTGTCTGGAGACTCGGCTGGTACGACCAATTTGTGTTGTCGTCCGGTCAGGGACGAAATTGGCCATTTCCGCACTCTATGGCGGTCACCTGTACCGCCAGTGGCTATTTAAAAACAGAGAAAATGACACCGACATTAAACTTAATGAACCTTTACAATTCTTAAATTATGTCAGCAATAATAACACACCTTCCTACAATAACACCTGTAAACGGGCACGTGCAGAGGATTTTAGAAGGGAAACGGCTCAAATGCATAAAGGGTCACACCGGTGATTGAATTAAAAAATGTATATATTTAAAACATATCCATGTTTCAAACACTGCTTCATGACAGTTATCTAAAAATGAATGCAAAGAAATGAAGTGTATATCAGTAAATTCTCCTCATCATAACTAGCTCGCTTGCCCACAGAGGGGTGTATCTGTGCACGTGCCTGCCTGTAAAAAATGCACATGCAAACACATTTTACAATGATACAACAACAATGGACACCCTAAACATATACAACATTGAATGACAAAATCCTCCACTACTTACGTGCGAATCTGGCATTGCCAGGCCGCTGATGTCCCACACGGCTCCCAGCCGCGCGTAGCTTTGCAGCCTGGGAACGGCGGGACGATTTACCACGTGGCATCTGAAAGTATGTAGGCATTGTTATAATTAATAAAGACATTAGCGGACCCCTTAAATAGTACAAATAATTACACAATTACTTCTTTCAACTGCAACAAAAGCGTACAAGTCCATTAATAGTTGATGCATCCTGTTCAACAAAAATGTACTTACTGTAACTGGTCACGAGATAAAGCTGGGTGGTGAATGAGTAGGTGGTGAAGATAGTGGTGGTGAAGAAGGTAGATGAGTAAGGTAGATGGGTAGCTGGTCAAGCCGGTAGGTTGTTTAACTAGAACAGAGAACAAACTAATCAGCATCTAATCAGCATCACAGACATGTAAATATAATTACTTAACACAATGTACAATACAATTGCATAGCTTAGCATACAATACAGTTATAAACAAAACAATTAGCAATTGTATTAGAAGCTGCTAATCACTTAGATTTACACTAATAAAGAGCCTATCTGTTTTCATTATACGTTATGCTACTGACAGTGTCTTGGACCACAACTCACCGGTAGAGAACTGCTCAAAGCTGTCAATCTGTGGGGAAAACACAGCATTAAACCCTGCAAAGAAAAGACTGGAAAGTTCCACATATTGTCATGGTATATGTTACTACAAACACTGTCTTTGACCAACACTCACCAGTAATGAACTGCTCAATAGTCGTCACTCTGTGAAATTAAAATTAAACCTTGCAAACACAATGCTTGTTTAAATAGCGAAGTGTGGACCTAGCTAACACACACATTCCCATATTAATGCACACATGGTCCACATAGTATTTGATTAAACATTTGGTCCACGTTAAAAAAAAAACGGAGATACTTAGAGCTATAAGTATGTCTGTGTGTGTCTTAACTGTCATCCATGTTGTCATCATCTAAACAATGATAGCAAATACTAACTATATGAATAAATATAGTATACCTTGAAATATATTTAATTGTTGATGAATTGTGAATGACTTAAAAAAAATAAAATACAATATTTACATTTGAATGTCAACTGCTTGCTGGGTTAGCAATGTTATGCATTAATGAATATGACATTTAAAAAAATGAGCGACCAATCAGAGCTCTCCTTCAGTTACTTTTTTTTGTTTTGCTTTCCAATAGAAATAGTTAATATTTACAGTAAAAAAACGATGTGGTTGCTATGTGTGTCTCTTTTGGCACGTTTCCACTGCAGGCCTCGCTCGGTTTGGTTAGGCCTTATTAGGCCCAGCTCACTTTAATGCTGCGCTTCCATTACAGTTTAGGAACTGGGGTAGTTACTATAGTAACGCAGTGTAGGCGGAGCCGTGACGTCATCTTCAATGAGAGCCCCAGAAAAACAACACAGCCGTTATCTCTTAGCACTCAGAGCTCACAGCTCCTCATATCTGTTCAGAAACTAGACAAAAGTTAAACAAGTACAAACCACAGACTGCCTGTGTCATGGCGAATACAGTCGCTGGTTTATTTATGTCTGTATAGGCCGTTGTTGCGAGTGTGGAAGGTCGGAGCATATATAACGTTAGCTTAGCTAAGCTACATTTAGAAAACACGCATTTTAAAAGTTTTTTTTTTTAAAATGTTAACCAGCTTCACAATGAATTTATAAGGAGAACAGTTACTCACCTCAGACAAGATGCAAGAGAGACCAAGCAATAGTTGACTTACAACATATATGAAGTTCATAAACATGAGCGACCAATCAGAGTTCTCCTTCTGTAAAATATTTGTTTTCTCCCCTCCAATCAGAATAGTTAATATTTACATTCAAATGTCAACTGCTTGCCATGCAGACATGTTAAAGACACATCAAAGGGCCTTTCCCAGAACTGAGCGACCAATCAGAGCTCTCCTATTTGGTATAGCAACTGGTTGCTATGCTCCGGTTACTTATCTTGTGTATCTTATCTTATCAAGCATGCTTGCTGCAAATGTAATAATATTCAGATTGCTCTGAAGATGGGCAGTGATATTCTATTTTGTTTCATATTCACACAGTCGCTGATCTTTTGCCGGACCTGTTTTCCTGCATACAGCAGTTTAAACTGTATTTATGTTATCCTGTAATATGATTGATAGCTTTAAACTGCACACTGAGCTCTGATTGGTCAGCAGGCGGTGTGTCTCTTTGTCATCCATCTTAAATTATCACCTCTCCTTTTCATGTCAGCCATTTTAAGTACAAAAAAGGCGGCAATCACTGTAGCGACATTTCAAATTTCCCAGAACTGAGCGGCCAATCAGAGCTCTCCTATCTGGCATAGCAACTGGTTGCCATGCCTCATTTCGCTCTTTCTGCTCTTTCCAGCGCTGTTTTGGCAGGGGGCTGATTCTGTGAGCTGCAGCTGACCACGCCCCCCTGCAGGAGAGGGAGCTGCTGTGCTGCAGCGGGGAGAAAAAGAGATCTCCGTCCTCCGTGTTTTATTCTTATAGAAGTAAGAAGAGAAGTAATGGGGCAGAAACCATAGACTGTATATATAAATGGACGTAGTGTCCGTGACGTCACCCATAGGATTCTGCAGAGTTGCCGAGAAGCCCTTAGTAGGCGGAGTCGGCCACTAACGGCTCGACTGTGACGTCAGAGTCTAATCCCGCCTGCTCCAAATAAGGGCAAAGAGGCGGAGCCGAGGCGGGACCTGCTGCCTCCGAACTGGAAGTAAACAGAGCTAGCTCAGGCTAACCCCCAAAACACACCAGGAGCGTCTGCGTCGTGTTACGGCCGCGCCGCGGCGGTCGTAAGGATCGCGGCCACTCTAGTCAATGGGTGCTATTACACCACACGCGCCGTGTTACGGTGTCAGTACCAGATATGTTCGGGCTACCATATATTTTCGGGTGTATTTCCGTCGCATCCGTCATCCGTCATATCCGTCATATACTCACTTCCCTCTGCTCCCAGCGCTCTGCTGCCACACACCGGCCGTCTGCGGAACTGCAGCCGGAGGAACTCGGGACGGCTTGTTATGTGTGGGGTGCTATGGTGGGGTCCCATGTACTTGTGCACATAAATAATGTTTCTAATTATTTACAATTAAAAAAAATATATATTCTGCGTTACTTTAGCCAACACTTTTATAAGGCCACTAGATTAGATAATTACGAAATGTGTAGATAGAATACATATATTTCAGGTTGTTATTTTGTCATTATGTTTAATGTTTCATTTACCTTTTAGTATTTTTATATAGTATCTGAACTTTGGAAAGGAGTTGGGAGACACACGACACATCACATCTACAGATCAAGGCGAAGCGAATGGATGTACTCCCATACTCCTAGCGTGAAAATGTTTGTGAAAACGTGTGCAAAGTCTCCGAAAATCCTAAAAATAAGCTCATATTTTAATTCCCCATAAAAAAAACACATCATTCAGTAAAAACAAGGCCCCACTGATCATCTACTCTCTGAGACGATTCCAGGGATGTCTGGCTTGAGTTTCGACCACCAGGGAAAGTGGACAAAAGTGCCCGAGATCAGCCTCTTAATTTACCCAGGGCCTAGTGCTTGGTTTTGGGCATGAAAATTCAGGAAACTCCCCTGAGTATTTTATTAAATATCTGAACTTTGGAGAGGAGTTGGGGGACACACAACACATCAAATCACATCTACAGATCAAGACGAAGCTAGTGGAAGTACTCCTAGCGTGTGAAAATGTTTGTGAAAACGTGTGCAAAGTCTCCGAAAACGGAGCAGTGGCTGTGATGCTAGCTTTGCGGCTAGCGGTTAGTTGTTATTGTTTGAAGTTGTTGCTATGGAAACAACATGACGGAGAAACAATTAATATCTTCTACATATAATAACGGACAAAGTAAAGAATGAAGTGTAGGCTATGCCTGTTTGAAGTTGTTGCTAAGGAAACAACATGACGGAGAAAAAGTATAATCTTCTACATATAATAACGGACAAAGTAAAGAATGAAGTGTCGGCTATGTTTAAATGTTCGGAATTTGACCGTGATGGCCCTCTTGAGTTGCCGTAAAATATGACGAATATGACGGAAATAAACCCGAACATATCTGGTAGCCCGAACATATCTGGTACTGACAACGGCTCAGACGCGTTCCAGAAGCGGCTCGGCGCAGCGCTTCTCTAAAATTAGGATGAATCCTATTTTTGCCACGGCGCAGCCGTAAGGTAAACTCCTCCCCCCATCCCCCCGTAGTCTTTCAAGTAGGAGAATACATGCCAGCGTTCTCCTCCGGTTTACAGGCACTGTAAATGATATATATAGAATAATTATGACGATGAATGCATATTTTTTTACCACTAAAATACAGCAACACATCTTTGATTCATGTCGTTTATAACTGGAATATTACAATTATTATTAACTGTGTCTGTAGTCTACAACACAACAAAATAGGAAATAACAACAATAAACACGATTTAAACAGACACAAACATAAACCATTTAACTACGTATAGCCTACTTACTTGTAGAAGTACAAATGTCCAGGAAATATTCCAAAATCAACAACAACTGCGAGGCTGCACACACGACGCTCCGCTTCCGCAACGTTTTGAAACGCGTCTGGTGTGTGTTGACGCAGGAGGAGGTCGCAGCATGGCGCAGCCGCAACGTAACCCGGCGCAGACGCTCCTGGTGTGTTTTGGGGGTAAGAAGCTAAGCTAACATGAAATACATGCATACCAAGTTACTGCTAGCAGTGTAGTTCCCCTATATAAACGTTACATTCATCATCAAATGAGACAATCTGCAAGAGAATTAGCTATATTTTGTTATTCTTAATGCTTGTCATTCACACGTTGAGAAAAGACGGACTCCACCGCCCGGACCTAACGGAGCCGCAGTGGGCTAGCTCCGGGACGCCGGCTGGAGCTAGCCCCCTGCGGCTCCGGCGGCCACCACTGGGATAATTGGGTCCCCTATTAACATTTGCTCCCGTTTACCATTATGGGCGTCATAGCCATAGACTATAAAAGTCTTACCCAAGGCTGAATCATAAACTTAAATGTATATGTATGTATAAAGGGTTAGGCCTACGTCCTTAGCTGGCTAATTAGTAGCAAGCTTAGCTACCAAACACACACACACACACCTGCGAACGGGGTTAACATGTATAATATTATAATTTTAGACTTCTTGTAAGTTCTGTTAGTACATTCAAGCGCACAGCACAACATTTGAATTGTCTGGTATTTGTAACAATATTCCCTAAAAGGCAAAATCACCACGAACACGGCTAAAGGGTCAAGTACAGTAACTACAACTAACTAACGTTGTAGCCTCTATGGTTGTGGCCTGCACAGTTCACAGTCGGTGATCTTTTGCCGGATCTCTTTTCCTGCATACAGCAGTTTGAACTGTATTTATTTTATCCTGTAATATGACTTGATAGCTTTACACACTGAGCTCTGATTGGTCAGCAGGCGGTGCTTTCACTGAGTTGATCTCTTATCTGGAACATAACCTGCTCCGGAGCCACAATACACAAAGTTGTCCTAATTCAATGGAAAAAATTCCAAACACCACCAGACTTCAGACTATCATTAATGGTCCGGCCCTCAACAGCTCTATGTCAA